TGACTACCAGAATAACATACGACACAGTTGATGTTTCAGTTTGACTACCAGAATAACATACGACACAGTTGCTCTTTCAGTTTGACTACCAGAATAACATATGACACAGTTGATGTTTCAGTTTGACTACCAGAATAACATACGACACAGTTGATGTTTCAGTTTGACTACCAGAATAACATACGACACAGTTGATGTTTCAGCTTGACTACCAGAATAACAGTATATGTATATACGAGTGTGCTTAGACGTGTCCAATTTCAAGTAAGTGCCGTTTCTATGGTAACTGTGCAGAACCTTAAAACACGGACTAGGGTCTAACTGCATAAATTTCCCATATACTGTATCCTACACTATAAATAAATATCGTAATGATTACTGCGGCGAATTCAACAAGTTTATTGACAATAATTATATGATACACTCATTATATTTCTGTTTTGATTCGGAGAAGAAAAAAAAAGATTAACGTTACCCAGAAAATGAGTGATTTGATCGTTTTTGGCGAGTTCTTTATACTCAGTGTAACAGGGTAAAAAATAATTACTTGATATGTAAACCCAACTGAAGTTAGGGTTAATAAAATAAAACTAATTTAAATATTAAGCCTTAAAAAAAAAGGTAGATTGTTCTGATGATCCTAATCCAATAATTTCATAACATTGAAAACAAATTATTAAGTGTGAATATAAATCAAAATACTTATTCATTCACACTAGTTTTGGAACTGTTTTGATCAGTGAAAACACGAGTTTAATCTAACAGGAAGACTTAGTTACATGTTCTCACTATAACACTTGTTTACATAATGAATTAGTGTTACTTGCTTAAAACAAGCCTCTGAATCGGTTCTATAAAGTTAATGTCCCAATATTAATAACTACTTTGTTTACTAGTTAAAAAATAATATTTTGCTGTCCTCCTAACAGTTACAATAACAGCAGTATTTCACCTAGGACTAAACTCTTGGAAAACTGAAGTTTGGATACTGGCTATTAACAGGTAAAAAGGATCTACTGATTTGATCGTCACGATTCAAAATATCCAATAGCATGCAGTCATTGTCTACTTCTCGTTTTTTCCCGTTCAAGTTAGTAATAACATGATACTTGAGAAGTTAATGTTATTTCCATCTTTAGGGATAACGAAACAGAATTTCCACAGAAAACGAACCCGGGCTGCTTTTTAGAAAACACAAATATACACATTACGTACATTCAACAAATATAAATATAATAGTACTGCCTGTTGTATGTAGATGGAACTTCACCAAATTTGGTATGGAAACTCGTTGGGTCCATGAGGAGATACATACAGATTTTCAGTTTTGTTTTTTGTAGTTTTTATGGGCGTTTTTTTTTCTTTACATTTACATATAAAGGGTACAACTTCTCATATCCTAAGATAATCTTTCATTAATCACACATTTACATAACTTACGTCCAGGGGACCTGTACCCCAGCTAATATTAAATACGTAATAAATGTATGGGAAATGATCTTGTTTTTACAACTACGTCAATCTTTTCAGAAACCACTAGTGATATTTAAAGCATAACATAAGAAGTCCAGAGGTTACGAAGAAGAACTCGAGAATTTATGGTTGGAGAAAATTGAATCATACATTTTTAATTCAACCACAATCCGTCTCATTCAGCTAACGCACACACACACATGAACGGAAGCACTGTTATTATTGGACACACAGCATTCTTAGGCTTAGCTACATTGTACAAATACTACGTTTTATATTACCCTTCTTACAATTTATCTTGCAAACACGAATGTTCAGGTGTAATGAAGCGGAAAAAAAAGTTTAAGTGTAGAAAACTGTGGGTATCAATACATACACACACACACGAACGGAAGCACTGCTATTATTGGACACAGCATTCTTAGGCTTAGCTACATTTTACAAATACTACGTTTTATATTACCCTTCTTACAATTTATCTTGCAAACACGGGTGTTCAGGTGTAATGAAGCGGAAAAAAAAGTTTAAGTGTAGAAAACTGTGTGTATCAATACACACACACACACACACACACACGAACGGAAGCACTGCTATTATTGGACACAGCATTCTTAGGCTTAGCTACATTTTACAAATACTACGTTTTATATTACCCTTCTTACAATTTATCTTGCAAACACGGGTGTTCATGTGTAATGAAGCGGAAAAAAAAAAGTTTAAGTGTAGAAAACTGTGTGTATCAATACACACACACACACACACACACACGAACGGAAGCACTGCTATTATTGGACACAGCATTCTTAGGCTTAGCTACATTTTACAAATACTACGTTTTATATTACCCTTCATAAAACTTATCTTGCAAACACGGGTGTTCATGTGTAATGAAGCGGAAAAAAAAAAGTTTAAGTGTAGAAAACTGTGTGTATCAATACACACACACACACACACACACACGAACGGAAGCACTGCTATTATTGGAC